TATATATATATATATATATATATTATTCTTATTTATTTTAATTTTTTTTGTCATAGAACCCACAAGAATTTAAAACTACTTTCACCCCTGATTGAAACTCTATACAAACCCCTCCAGGTGGCGTCATGTGAGGTTCGAAATGGATTTCCTAAACCCAACATCACCTGGTACAAGGATAACGAGCCACTGATGCCTCAAGTAGGACGTAAGTTTTTACTGCTGTGGCTTTTCCTCCTTGTCTTAGAGTATTTATATCGAATTGTACATGATTGGTGTAAAGGTTTAACCACTGGCTTAGCAACAGGTTTGCTGAAAATTTTAAAATAAGAAATACCCATAAAATTATCCATGTATCAGTACTGCTAGCACAATTAGCCTGTTAGAAACAGTGCAGTCCTTAATGGGTAAGTACTGAAAAAGTACTTGCCTGGTAATTACTTACATATTTCTAAAGCTTGGTTTAACTTTGCTTGCTATAGGTTAGTACATGTAGAATCAAGAAATCCTGTAAATAGAACCTGTCTGACAACATGAAGCAGGTTAAAACATGTGTCTTGCTCGATATGAAGCTATTGTAGCTTACAGGACCTTGTGTTGTTCTTCTCCTTATTTTCATTGTCATAGTCATTGTGAGAAAAGTATTGATAAAGGTAAAAAATGTGGAAATGTTTGATGACCTTTACAGGGTCTATAAAGAGTATTCAAACAACCCACCCATTTTTTGGTAACAACTCAAAGCTTTTTAGTGTGTGGAAAATTAGTTTCTTCAAAAACCGCCAGATTGGTAAGTCACAATCAAATGATCACTGCCCTGTTATCCAGCAACCCCAACCAAGCCCAGCTGGTTTTACTGCTCTATGTGCTGCACAATGGCTGCTGGAAAAGACAAGTGCTCAGTTGTTGATTTACCATCCAGAAGATACTGGCTGCATTGTTGTTGGTTGTGCTGGAAGCACCACTTCTACTTTTTAAATATGTATGGTTGTCTAATTGTGTATCTGTTTGCAGCAATGTTGCAATGTTGAGTTGGAAGTTGTGGCCAGCTGCAGCTTATTTGGATTTAAAGTGACAAGACGCCCTAAAACAACTCATTCTGAAAGCATCTCAAAATTGACAGAACTTACCAGATAAAATCTCATTATCTCAAATTGATTGTGTGAAAATATGTAATTAACATGTTCAAGGAAGCATAATAGCATCTACACCCAGAGGATGCTGACTACTTGAATAATCAGGTTTTCTAACATTTTCAGCCACAGAAGTTCACATGAGCTGATTCAAACACTTCATTTTGACATTGTTTCTTGCTGTGTTTTCACTGTTCCAGAGGTAAATGTGATCATCCTGGTGACCCGGGAGCCCAGAGGCTTCTACTCTGTGCAGAGCACCCTGGAGTACAGGATACTGAAGGAGGACAAGGACTCCCATTTCTCCTGTGAGGTCAGCTTCTCTGTCCCGGGAGCCATCAGGACGAGGATGTCCCAAAGCATCAATGTCACTGTTCACTGTGAGTTTCATACGGTTATACTGACCTGCAGTAGAGCAGTAAGTCACTAATTAAAGTCTAATGCTGACTGTCTCACCTCGATTCTTGACTGTAATTGTCTCCAAGTTTTGTCACCATAATTGCCTGACAACACTTTAATTAGTTCAGCTCAATGCTTCCAGCCTTTGCAGTTAGATAAACAGTTTCCTTGCTGTTCTGTATTGTTTCCAGTTCTGTTGCTAATTTCAGTATTTTCACATCAAACCATACTTTTTTTTTTATTTGGCTTGCAGTTCGCTTGCTTCTCCTAGGGAGTTTATTGTTTTGCATTCGGCTGTAAAAGATGCTAATGTAATTTAACTTGCACATTGTGAGTGGAATATTCATAAAAACGCCCACGTTGGAAATGCTAAAACCAGTAAATCTGCAGTGCTGGGGAAAACGCCTGGAAAATGGAGAAAAACTGGTGCACAGAGGTTAGACGTTCAGATTTAAAATCTCTTCATCCCTTTCTGATTTGTCTGTTTGCTCACAGTTTGTTAAAATCTGAATATTTAACAAAGCTTCTCCATCAATCTTAAAAATGAATTTTAGTTAAAATTCAAGGACAGAAAAAACATCTAAATTAAAATAAGTATGCCATTTGGGTGTAAGATAAACAGTCCTGACAAACTAGCAACAACTCCACCCAAAAACAGTAGAAGAGATCAGAGGAAAGAAAATTAACTTGCTTGAGTTTTAACATTGACCATGAAATGAACACCCTACTGAACAACAGGGTATCAAAAAATTGGGTTATACTCTTGTTGTTCCTCTCCATGGAAAACTTTAGTAAAAGGCAAAAGATTTATATGAATTGAAAAGAAACAAGAGTGCATGACCTGTTAATGGGTAGGTGTCCCATTTCTCCTGTCACCATACCCACATCACTGACGGTGCTATTCGACTGAACAATGCTTTATGGACACAGAAAAGCTGGCCACGCCTCTATTTTTTTAACCAGTTTAAAGCCTTTTTTATTTTTATTTTTCCCATTTCAAAAGTTTTTTCCAGTGGCAGTTTTTTTTTTTCACTTTCAGTTTCAAACTTTTTCCAATTTTAAAATAAATGTAAAGTTTTAAATTTTTTTGTTGTTGTTTTAGTTTCAAATGTTATTCTTATGAACAAATTTTATGACCCCAATTTAGGTCCATAGCACTCAGTTTTGTTCAGCACAAAGATTTTGTTGTTCAGACATGCAGCAACACTCGATGGCCTCGTTGAGGACTAAGGCCTCAACGAGGGCCTCAATATGTGGGCTGAGCTTTACCGCTGCACACCACTTGCATGAAATCATTCCTAAATAAAGAGATTTCAATCTGCTTTGTAGTGCGTAGTTTTAGAATGAGGTGTTAAGGCTTTACACAGACAATGCACTGAAATCATAAAATAACACAATGTTCCAAGTCCCACCATATGCTGTAGATTGCTTCTAGCTGACAAAGTATTTTAATATTGAACAACAGAAGGAGCACCACACTGAACAGCAGAGGGGATAGCACCGTCAGTGAAGTGGGTATGGTGACAGGAGAAATGGGACACCTACAATCAGCAGGTTATGCACTCTTGTTTTTCTTCAATTTGTACAAGTCTTTTGCCTTTTACTAAAGATTTCTGTGGAGACAAACTGTAAGAGTTTAACCCAATTTTTTGATACCCTGCTGGTTAGTGGGTATTCTTTTTGTGTTAAATATGAAAACATAAAGTTATTACTAAAATTCAGGGTATTATAGTTCCTACAATCTCTGGTATTTTGAAAATGCCTTAAGAATCAATCAAGTCAACTTTTGTTTCATAGACATGCTTTTATATATATTTACAATGAAGAAATATTTTTTAGAGTGCATGAGAAATGCTAAACACAGACTGAAAATGCTGTGAAAATGTATCTATATTTTTTCCCACATCACATGCACAGAGTATTGATGATATTTAACCAGGACCAACAGTTTTGAGACTGAAAAGAACAAACATTGAATCCTAAAACTAGTTATGAGCATTTTTTACATTTTCAAAACTTTTTTTTTTTCTTTTGAACAAGCTTTATGGCCCAAATTTATCTCCATAGGGCTGAGTTCTCGTTCAGGACAAAGCAGAGTTGTCGCCATAAAAGCCTACAACAAAATAAGAAAAAGTCACTAGATTTGTCGATGGTCACTGTTTTGTAAAATAGTCGTTAGTGATATCTGAGAAGTTGCTAAAAATAGTGGCAAAGTGCTTTGCCTCATTGCATAAAAGCGTACATAATTTTTTATAATTCATTCAAATTCAAAAATACTTTACTGATCCCACAGGGAAAAGATGTGGAAACTCATATTAAATTCAAATCTTCAAATAAAGTGGTTAAAAAACATAGATGAGGCCAGCTTTTTGGTTCCCACAATGCATTGCTATAGTCAAATAGCACCGTCACTGAAGTGGGTATGATGACAGGAGAAATGGGGCAAATGCACCATCAGGTCATGGGTTCTTGTTTCTCTTCAAATTGTATAAATCTTTCACCTTTTACTAAAGATTTCCATGGAGAGAAACTGCAAGAGTTTAACCCAATTTTTTGATACCTTGCTTGTTAGTGGGGTGCTCATTTTGTTAAATATTAAAATACTGAATAAGTTAATAGTAATGTTGAAGTTTACAATGTGAGATATTAAAGGGTGATGCACTGTGTGTGGAGCCTAAAACAGCTTACTATTTAAAACTTAAGTTAATAGTAAGGTTGAGATTCACAAATCTTGAGATTCATGCTAGTTACATGTTAAAGGTAACCTACTACGCTTCCTAGAACAGGTTAGAATAAATCTATGGGTTATACAAAACATGTTTGTGACATTTTTTGTGTAAAATCGTTAAATTAGACTTTAGTCTGTTCACTTCTGCCACTTTGAGCTTTCAGATACTTGTTTTAGTATATCACCATGTTCTCAAATTGCACTACCATTTTATGTCAGAGTCTATACTGTAATTCTGAACATTGCTTTCAAATCATTAAATACTTTAATGTTGAACATAGAAGGAGCACCCCACTCATCAGCAGGATGTCTTAAAATTTAGTTAAACTCTTGCTGTTACCCTCTATGAAAAAAAATTACACCTCACAGAACAAAAAAAAAATTAGTAAAAAGCAAAAGATTTATACAATTTGAAGAGAACCAAGAGCCCATGACCTGCTGATGCTGTAGGTGCCCCATTTCTCCTGTCATCATACCCACTTCACTGACGGCGCTATTTGACTAAGCAACATAAAGACTCAAAAATTCAAATATTTTACTATTGTCTTTATTATCTTTATATTTAGGTAATGCAAGATAACAAAGTTTGCTGGACGACGATAAATTGTCCCAATTAGTTATTGCAATAAATGATAATATTGTTGTTTTTAGACAGTTTTCAACTAATATAATGGTAATGCCGTTATATGCAAAAACACATTCTCAGATCAATAAGCTTTAAGTTTTAGTGAACATTTAACACTGGGCCTGGAAGACATTTTAAATATCCAAAATAAATAAACAAAGCAGAAACAACAAATAGAATGAATTATGAAGTCTCTGTAAACAAAACAAACAAAATTTTCCTACAAAAAAAGGGGCAAGTTGAGACCAAAACGCCAGACTGAAGACTTTTGCCTTCCAGTTTTTGGTAGAAAGAGAAAATGCAAATGGAATTTATTCAGCTACTGTCAATTTATCATGAGATTAATTGATTTATTACTTATTGTGACAGACCTATCTGTCTCTTAATCTGTCACAACATAGTGACAGTTTTGCCAAATATGTGAAAACATATTCTTTATGATTTTCTATTGATTATCAGCAACAAAAGTTGATTTGGGGATTTAGTTACTCTTTAAAAGTGGCTTTTTGAGTTTTACTTTGGAGAAGTCATTTGTAATGTTGACTGTGTTTTTCCAGTTGGGTTTTTGTTTTTTATGAACATCAGATCATTTGCATATTTTGCCAGTAAACCCAATCTGCAGGTTCAGCTGTATCAAATAAAACTTCCTCTGGTTATTGTTGGAACAGTTTTGTAAAAAGCCAGACTGGATCTGTCAGCATTATGGAAATGATCTTGTGAAGTGACTTTACCAGCATGCTGAATAAGCCTGCCTAATTTATTTTATTTCTTTGTGTGTGTGTGTGTGTGTGTGTGTGTGTGTGTGTGTGTGTGCGTGTGTGTGCAGACCCCACCACTATGATGGAGCTGTGGAAGGATTCGCCGCAGGGCTTGGTCAAAGAGGGGGATACCGTAGAGCTGCGTTGCCAGGGTGACGGCAACCCCCCGCCGATCTTCATTTTCAGCAAGGAACAAGTAAGAATGGAGCGTCTTTTCTCACCCTGCGTCCCCCGAGAGTGTGTGAGTGACACACAAGAGACACGTAGGGAGTGTTTTTGAAATGTAGCGCCCACAGCGGCAGACACGAGCGTGGAGGGTCTGTGTGGACAGACCCAAACCGGGTCTGAGACCGGAGGCCATGTTGGCGAGCAGGGCTCGTTCCCACGTCAGACACACCAGAGACACATTCATTGTGTCTCTGGAGAACACAAAGGCTCAGCTGACTGCAGGCTGAGCATTTCCCAATCAGCCGGTTGGCAGACTATGTCAGACAGAGTAATTTGAAGAAAGGGAACATGTGGTGGAAACAACACATTTTAGAAATATATTCAGGCTTAAAGCTGCAGTATGCTAAAATGTTTTTTATATATATTTGTTAAAAACTGTCACCATGTTGTGGCAGTGTGGTATGAGACAGATAATATGTGAAAAAAAATCAATCTCCCAGTGCTGCCAGTGCTAATCAGAAACAACCAGAGTGAGATACTTAAGTTTTTGAATTTTTATGTTGCTTAGTCAAATAACGCCGTCAGTGAAGTGGGTATGATGACAGGAGAAATGGGGCACCTACACCATCAGCAGGTCATGGGCTATTGTTTCTCTTCAAATCGTATAAATCTTTCGCCTTTTACTAAAGATTTCCGTGGAGAGAAACTGTAAGAGTTTAACCCAATTTTTTGATATCCTGCTAATTGGTGGGGTTTTCTTTCTGTGTTAAATATAAAAACATTAAGTTATTACTAAAATTCTGAGTATTACAGGAGGTGAGTCTCATCAATCATGTTTGTATGTGCCTCTCAGCTGAGGCCCCATTCCCCTCTCCCTTGGAAACTAAATGGAGTTTCCTTTTCAGGAGCCCGATACGCTGCTGGAGAGCAGAGGTGATGTCCTGATTCTGCCGTCTGTGTCCCGGAAAGACAGCGGCATCTACCAGTGCCGGGTGCTGGACTCTGCTGGACAAACGGAGATCAAAGAAGAGGTCACGCTCACGGTGCATTGTACGTAGGAAAACATTTCATGTGCCTACACACCGGGAACTGTATTTCTGCAGAATTATTCTGTACTTTAGTATTTAGAGACATTATAGTTCAAATTCTGATTCAGGGCTGATGATAGGATATTTTAGGTTTTGTTCTGTGAGGCTTAGAACATCTTTGTGTAGAAATGTGATATCCAGCATTCTTCCAAATAGCTAAATCTGGAAAATTAGACATTTTCTAGAATAAATAAGGACATTTTCAAGTTTGAAAAGTCAAAAATTTTCTAGGAGATTGAGCTCAGAAATTTTTTTGAAAAAAACAAAAACAAAACAATGTGGTAATTTCTGAGTTTGTGTTCATGTGTGTGTGTTCATGTGTGTGCACGTGTGTGTGTGTCATGTCGTGCTTCATCCCGTTTCAGATTTGGACCCGGCTGTTGTGGTTCCGAAAGAGTTGGAGTATATGGACAAAGGTGAAAATCTGGTGGCATCGTGCAACGCCCTGTCCTCTCTGAAAACTGTAACCATGTGGTACAAGGTAACTTCATTTCAGTTTGAAGTTATTCCCTGTTGCTTGTGCACTTTTTCCTTCCACTAAGCTTTCCGTCAATATGCTAGGATACAGGGATTTCTGAGTGGCCAAGTACTTTAGCTGGACTAAATTTCTCATAAACTCTTGAATGGGCTTTTATAAAACTCTCAACACTGCAGTTATTTCCTGTTGCTTATGCACTTTTTCCTTCCACTAAACTTTCCATTAACATGTTTGGATACAAAAACATTCTTTAGTTCACTGGACAGCTGTCCAATCAGCAGTCTTCCCCCTGATTGTTGTATAATACGTTAGTGTTGTTAGTGAATTGACCATTGTGATGATGTTCTGATGTTGTGGTGGCGTCGCTGACCTTGGGGTCGTGTCTGGATGTTTGCTTTGGGTTTGTTTAGGAAGGGAAGCAGGTGGGTCACGGCAACACGCTCCACCTGAACGACGCCACCTACGAGACGAGCGGACGGTACGTTTGCGAGGTGACAGTTCCCTCCCTACCCTCCCTGCACACCAACGGCTCGGTTAACATCATTGTCCAAGGTCAGTGAGCCACTGCTGTTAACTTCCTGTTACCCTTTAAGGTCAGAGCTTTGAGTTCTGATAGTTTCTACAGGAAGTCTAGGGTTATGAAGACGTAAATGAAATAGGGTGAAGTGTTTTTATGGGTATATTACAGCACGTTGGTGAATGTTTACTAGAACAGGACCTGGTGACCATCTTGGTGAATGTTTCTGGTGGCTGTTCCTCCAGGCGGGCCTCAGTTGGCTGGCGTGGAGGACGAGGTCCAGCTGGAGGAAGTGGCCGGCCGCACGCTGAACCTGAGCTGTGAGGCCCGCGGGCATCCACTGCCCAGTATCACCTGGAGCATCACAGGCAGCCAGGTAACCGTTCATCCAACCGTACATCCAACTGTGCATCCAACTATTGCATTGTATAGAAACTCGACAACGCTTCTGATAAAACTATCCTTGGCTAATAGTTGGTAAATGCAGCACTAAATAAAGACAAATGTACAAACATTTGCTTTGGAAGTTTTAAAAAAGAGACTTGCTGGATTTGTTTTCATGAAACCTTTAGTTACACCTAAAGGAGATTCAGTTTGTCCATTTTGAAAGAGAGATGTCGATAACTTTTGCATAAATAAAAATGTCTCTTTCTCTGTAGAACTGGCAAGAAGTGATGAGCAAAGCAAACGACCACATTACTCACAGCATGGTGTCGGTCAAGATCAACTCAGACGTCAGCGCCGTTTGTAACGCGTCCAACAACCAGGGCACTGAGGTCAAGGTCTTCAGCATCAAAGCCAGTAAGCGTCTCTTTCTTATATGTATGTTGAACAACATGCAAGTTAAATTATCTGATTTCAAATTGGGAAATTGTTTGACGAATGTGTCACAGCTGTTTTTCTTCCTCCTAATTTAGCCCATTAAAACTGAGTTGTTGTTCAACCATAAATTGTTAAATTGATTGTTTGATTTGCTAAAGAAATTCTAGACATTAAATAATATTTCTCACAGGATAAATTCACTAAAGAGTTTTTAATAAAGTTTTTAAGTCTGACTCATTCATTTTAGCTTAAAAGAGAAATTATGCAATACTATAACATTTGTTTGATTCATATTTTTGAATTAGACATTTGAAACAGGTTTGAGGTTGTTTGCTTCTGTTATTGTGTTAATATGGGCTGATATTGATTAAAATGAAGAGAAACACCTGAAAAACACCTGTGGAAAATTAAAATAGGATTCCTGCTCCGTTTTGGAAATACTGGGATCTGTGTTTTTTATTTGCCAAAGCTGAAAAAGTTTGAACTGACAAGACACAACCATTGATGTACACTCCCCTTCATTAAGATAATTTATCTGGCATTGTGGAGTAATGTCTCATGACCTGCATGAATCGACACACGGTTCTTTAACCCAACCCTTTTGGTTAAAAATTATGTCAGGTTTTCTTAATCCAGCATGATCCAGATTAGATGTTGGAAACTCTGAAGAATAAAGCAGAGCTCTTTTGCTGTAGTTCATTCAACCTGCCAGGTATTTGCTGCTGTCGACTCTTGGCTCATTTTGCCCCTCCAGCAATTTGAAGAAAAGATTCCCAAGACGAACACATATAAAAATTCAAATGACTGTATGTGGTCTTTGTGTTTTTTATTACACCCAAAAATTTGGGTCAAAATGGCTTACAAATTTAAGGCATTTTTTCAATTTTTTTTACTTTCTTTAGAATTGGAGAGTCTATCTGTGTCCAAACGTTTTTGATAATTAGATTGAAAAAACACTGGGCTCTTTCAAATCCCTCTCACCTCGAGTCAGCTAGTGAGAGACGGGAGTATCGAGGGAAGGGACTATGATTGTTTTCCCAAGTTGTATATGCCAGCTTTGTCGTGGTTTCTACTTGTTGAAGTCAAGCTAATTTAGGCTTTTTAGGGCTCATATCAATATATACAAAACGTTGGAAATAGCTAACTTAGAAAACACCCATACCTTCTCCTTTCTAATGTGTTTGTTGATTTGATCAAATCTTTGACTTTGTCTGAATTCACATCTCATGATTTATTCCACATCTACATGTTAAGGTTGTCAAAGTCCAGCTAGGAAAGCTGACCTACTTCCCTCTCCCTCGCTATTCTTTATTTAATTTCAACTTTTAGAAGCCTCTGAAATGTGATATCTTGATATCTTGCTGTAGTGTTGACAGTAGTAGCAAATAACTGTGTCCATTTTTTTTTTATATGTCATGTGCACATTTAGATTTATATTGACAACTTAACAGCTAAAAACATTGTAAAAACAATGCTATCAGCGGCGAGCAGTTTTTAGCCCACCAGCAGGGAGCTGGGGTGGGACCTTGACGTCACGCTGCAATGTATCATGGGCATCACTGTCAAGTTTGGTTTGGACATGCTTCATTCATGCTCCTCTAACTTTAAAATAAAGCATTGCAAAAACAACTCTTTTTACACTTACTTATGGTGTGTTCACTGATCAGAAACTGATGCGAATTTTCAGTTTCTGAGCAGGCCAAGGCAAAAACCGACCAATTCTGGTCACCAGCCGAATTCTTGTTGCATCTTTAACAACAACCAGCTGATAAATGATCACAGTTTGCTCTTTAACCAAATGTTTAACACAGTAAAAGCAGGTTTGCACTAATCTTAAGGGATGTGTGTGTTTATGTGTTGGATTAATGTTGGTGGACGTGAACTTCTTCCCACTCTGAGTGTTGTTTTACTCGTCCACAGTTCCCAGGGTCACCCGCACTGCTCCCTTCTCTCCCGGTAAGACGATTACCGCCCTGCAGTCTCTAATGTTGCAGCTTTCCAGCTCAAACGCTTTCCTCCCAATGTTCACGCTTTTCACCAACATCCATATGTGACAATGCAGGCCTGCAGTAGGCCATGCATTATTTACAGGCATTCCACCCTAAGACTGTCTTTAGCTTGCTGGCAGATCTTTGAGTTAGCCCTTGGCTGTTTTTAAATATTCTGTTTGATTTTTAGAGTTAAAAAAAAATCTTAACGCCAGCAAATCCCAGATACTCGGATCAAACACGCTGCAGCTGTAAAATATTATTTGTTTATCCCAGAACTTTTTAAGTAAACAAAAATCAGCAATGTGGAAAAAAGACAGCCAGACATTAATCGTGTTTTATGGTAGCTTTAACATACCGGGTTAATTTACACTTCACCTTTGAGGGGGTTGCAATTATCAGGCAGTTTTCTGACTTAATCTGGGTTGTTAGTTCGTATCGTTAAATCTTTGCAGGACTCTGGGGAAAAACACGGAGTCTGAAATAAAAACAACAGAGGGAAAAATCTGGTCCAGAATGTTCCCAAACAACTTTTTACTGCTTTTCTTTTTGTTTACGGCCATTCTAAACTAATGCAGTCAGAATAAATTACATCATCAACACTTGGTGCAATAAAAAGGTTAAATGTTTCTCTCACTTTTTATTGAGTCAGTATATTTAAAGACTAATCCTACTACATTGGAAGGCAACTGTTCACTTAGTTCAAAACTGATGGAGTCCATTTATGATTGATAAGTGAAGTGAGGCACAGATTCTGGCAGAAATATATTAGAGGTTTTTTTTTTTTTGTTAGGTTTTACTACAACAGTTCATGGAGTCTTCACAGAGTGATTCAAGTGGAGCTATTTGCTGCAATACTGATTTTTTTCTTGTGTTGCTTTCAAAATAGTTTCTCTCATCATAAAACTTTCTTATAAAGTCTGGAGCAGTGTTGCTAAATTGCAGCTGCATCAATTGGTTTATATTTAACTTGTAGGAATGTAGTTTGGTTTATTTGCAGAATATCAAAGACTGAAGCTTCTTCTGGTTTAGATGGGTGACAAAAATCATGTTTATATTGACCCTGGAAAACCTGGACATAGAAACACATGAAAAAAAAAAAAGTTCAACCCATTAGATTGTTTTGTAGGAGCAGCTTGGAGATAAAAATATGTTTTCAAATTTATTTTGGGTTTGTAAGGTTTTGTGAAAATCTATGACGGAGTATTAAGGCCAGGCTAAGAATCTTTTTTTTAAATATGAGAATAAAGTCAGAATATGAAGATGACATAACAGCAGAATAAAGACTCAATATCACCAGAAGAAAGTTGTAAAAATAATAGAAAAAAGTTGTTTTAATGAGATCAAAGCTTTTCATTGAAGATCTGATATTAGTTTATGATTCTTTCTTCTAAATAGGCATTTTGATGATGGTTTTAAAGTTCTGATACTGTTAATTGTCTGATGTGTTTAAAGATCAAGTATTTATTCATAAACTGATGTTCAACATTCCGTATTTTAATTTATTATTTAATTATTTATGGTTGAATTTATCATAAAATTACTTCTTCATTCTCTTAATATGATTTTTCTTCTACTATTAATTTGACTTTATTGGCAGACAACTTTATTATTACAGCTTTTTTGGCGGATTATGACTTTATTCTGATAATGACTGTACTCTCATAATATTTTGACTTTATTTGCAAAGTCTTTTTTTTCTTAGCCTGGCCATAATACTTTGTTGTAAAATTATAACATAAAGTTATGCAGCATTCTTTTCAAATTCAAAAGCACTTTATTGATCCAGAAAGGAAATTTAAATATTGTTGCAACTCATAAAATTACAGACGTGCACATGCTTTAAACATAATAAACCAAAAACGTGAAAATATTTTACTTTTTGAAAAAATTTGGTTCAAGTTTGGTTATTTTTTGACCCTTTTGGGGGAATTTTATTTGCAAATTTCCAATCAAATTTCCTTCCAAGACAGAACAATATTGTCCAGTCTTTAGGTTTGGCTGAAAACACAGAAGAGAAGTCAACACTTGCATATTTGTTTTATTTTAAATAGAGATTTTGTAATATTGCAACACTGGGCTTTACAGGGTTACACATGAGGGGTGTCCAAGGCGTGGCCCGGGGGCCATTCGCGGCCCTCTGAATGATTTGGTGCGACCCTGGACCACAACTAAACCATTGCATAAATTCGGTTTATCAGCTCAGGCGGTGATGGAGATGCACAAATCTGCTTGCTTTGTTAAAATATTGTGTGCTTAGTTTATTTTTGAACAGGCAAGTATGAAAAATAAGGCTTTTTAAAACAAAATTCGGAGTACTTTCAGTTCGACATGTTTCAACGCCGTTCTTCTTCTTCTCTTCCATGTTTGTCTGCTTGCTCCATCTGCTTCATCCTCTCTGGTGATCCTTGCTCTTCTCTGAAGTGTTTCTGTATTTTTCTGCATGTTTTCTGCATTAACTGCATGATGTGAGTCCCTGCCTGATCTATGAGCGGAAACTTTGTAGCAACACACCTGCAGAACCAACTTACTTGTGGTCAATCGATTAATAATGACCTTTTTCACATAACTTTTGTTTATTCAAAACGTAAAATCATCATTTAAAATTAAAAGTTGAAACATTTCATCTGTAAGAGAACATAACTCTTTTTTTTTACAACACTGTAGATCATGTCTAATGGTTGCTATGGAGATCTAAGGTACTAACTTTCCGCTCTTTGTGGCAGTTTTTCAACGTTGAGCTTAGAGGCTGTCAGCAACATGTGGGGGTGGCACTCTTAGCTCCAAAGTGTCCTTCACGTTCTGTCATCTGTCGGACTTATAGCTTTTTGAAACCTTGTGCACCAGTGTGAACCTTCACACCAGAAACCAAATGAACAAAAAACAAACTATCACGTAAGACGCATTAGAAAAAATTATTTTTCTGAAAGTTTGAGTGGCACATTTACAGCCTGTTTTTGTTGTTAAAAAAAAATTGACCCGTTTGTGATTATTTAGGCAAATAAATAAAATCTGAACATAAACCTTGACAGCAGATGTCTGCTTCTGTGTGCAGTTGAAGGCAGCGGAGTGATCATAGTGGTGATCATACTGTGTTTGCTGCTTCTCGCCTTCCTGGGAAGCGTCGTCTACTTCCTGCATAAGAAGGGAAAGATCCCCTGCGGACGTTCAGGAAAGCAGGAGATGTGAGTACCGCCTCGCCCTCTACTCCTTCTGCTGCACAAAATTTCAATCATATCTTTATTTTTCTGCATAGAACCCTCAAAATTGCATTTGTTGGCAAAAGCCAGAAATTTCCCAGCTTGTGTGTGAACTAAAGTTGAGTAACCATTCCCAATTTGCATGCAGACGCACAAAATAGATCCCAGTTGTATTTACACACTTATTTAGCTCTTACCTTTACAAAGATAAAGGTAAGAGCTTTAAACTACTCAGTCTTAAAGCAGAGAAAAAAAGCGTTAACTCAGTTCGACCTTTCAGATTTGGTGTTTACCAACCAAATCACTCAAAATTCCACAGCACATCTACATGGAGATGCTTGTCATAGTCAAGCTAGCATAGCTGACCTATTTCCCTTTCCTTCGCTTTTTTTATGAAAAGTTTTTCCTGACATTGTTTTTTAGTTGTCATAGTTTTGACAAATATTAGCAAAGCACTGTTTCCCCTTTTCCTTTTACATATCACACATACATTTAAGATTTAGCCCATTATGTTAACAACTTGGCCGCTAAACCCAATGATTGTTGTTGTTGGTGAGCAGTTTTTTGGGATTTTGTGCGTGTGATGTCATGTTTCAACGTGTCTATAGCACCAGTTCATAATGTCTGTGTTCATCCGGGCAGCACCAAAGAGAAGCCCACCAAAGACGACATCGTTGTGGAGATGAAGAACAACCCAAAGAACGAGGATGCTGTGCTGCTAAAAGCCGTGAACGGAGAGAAGAAAGGTCCCAATGACCAGGTAACTGTTGTGGTGAGTGAATACACCTGCAGAAAGAGAGGAAAAGTAAAACCGAGAAACCATAGCAACAAACACATGCATCTGTAGCACTAAAAACTACATCACTGAAAATTACACGAGAAAAATCAAAGTTTAGTAATGTAAACATATGACTTTTTTTTTCTTGTAAATGGACGACTTTTCAACATTAGAGAATATTGGAAGTGTCGCCACATTATTTTCTAGATATAAAACTTTATTAGAAATTGCGTTTGGTTTATTTCAAATGTAAAAGACAGAAAAGAAACCGAGGAAGGAGGAGGAAAAGGTTTCAAGGGGAAGGAGATCAGAGTAGAGGAGTGAAAAAAGGATAGAGAATACAAGTCAACAGTCTGCTTTTACACCTACAGAAAGAGAGAAAAAACAGAACCGAGAAACCATAGCAACAATCAACATCATCATGATGGAAAATAGCATATTATAAGTTAATACAAGAAAATAGGACTTTTAATATCGTAAATTTTTGCTTTTAATCATGAAAAACTCATTCTGTTCTTGCTAGTTTACCACTTTTCAACCTGCAAGAATGTCGGAAGTATTTTATTGTACATCAAACAGTTCAATAAAAATATTTTTCTGTTTTTTAATGGAAATGTACTCCTCTGTTGCCACTTTCTTTCTTTCTTTGCTCAATAATCCGTCGTCAAAACGTGCTTCTGAGTGAAAGCTGCTCTTTTAAATATTTAGGATCTGGTCTGAGTCTTGTGGAGTTGACCTCTCCTGAAGGATTTGAGTAAATCTCACCTTCTCTTCTGTCTGTGCAGTAAAACTCCTGAAGGTCGTGAGGAGCCGCAGCAGGTCGCAGTATCCAGACGGAGGTTATTGGCACGGAGGTGACCTTGGACGTTCCCACTGACCTCCTCCTTGTCTGGACGCTCCCTCCCTGTTCCTCCCTTCATTTTTTGTTCTAAGCAGTATTCAGCAGGTTTTCCCACACACACACGCACACACACCCACACACATACACACACACACACAGAACACACATTTCCCAGGTGTGTTTGTACAGATGTGTACCTTCTGAATGAGTCTTTGCTTCAGCATTCAGTTCTCTCATTAGTTTTCAGCTCTTTGCTGTTGTTTAGTGTTTGTACGATGGTGAATCATCCTTCTTTTTTTATGAAAGTGTAAATATTATATATATTTTGTTATTTAAGATATTTTGGCTCAGATTTCCATTTCACAGCAGCGTCTGGCTCGTGTGCATGTTTTCTATAGTTTTTACTTTAGCATCCAGGTGAGATTTGAAGCAGGACTTGATGGAGACCAAACGTTGTAAAAACTCGTCCTACATTCGACCAAAACAGCTTATTTTATTTTCTGCTCTGCAGGACCGCCAGTGATTACTTCACTGGTGGCCATCTTTACCAAACTGCTGTCACGTTCTTGTACTGTTTGTAAATATGCTTAGGTTAGAGACCTGCTAGACCTCCTGAAGCTCAAACAGGTCAAAGTTACACATCTGCTGTGCCTGTTTTTTTATTTTTTACATCAAACACTGAATTTATTTTATTTTGAAACTGTTTTTCTCTGTGTTGCCAGTGATTGGTCAGAGCCTGAAGGTCCCATGTGTTTTTGCATGTTTCATACCGCAACAGTTTGGACTGACGATGCTTTTATACAGAGAGATCACTGTGATAAACACAAGAAGGTTCATGGTTTTCTTTATCTGAAGTGTTTGGAAACAAAAGAATGATTTTTTTTTTCTTTTATAAAATCCACCTTAAATGGTTAAATTTTTCGTCTTAAATGTTTCTATCATAATTCATTTAATTAGCTTAATTTAAATTTAGAAAAATGTATCTAATTTTGACAAATTTAAATGCAATCCCAGTTTACACTAAAGTCAAAAATCTGACCCGACCACAAGATGTTTTTTTTAATTATTATATACAGATTTAGATTTTGGATTTAAAAATTTTTTTCCCCAAACTTTTTTATTTGATACATTTCATAAAACAAGCAAGGAAAGATTTAAGATGTCCAGTTTAGAAAACAAGTAAAAAAACCTTCTTGTGTTCGTTATTCACTAACATTATTTGGTTTCTTTTTTTTTATTTCTTAGCTCACGGTTTCATATTTCAGGAAAGCGGTCGTGCCGCTCTGCGAGTCGGATGTAATTATAGTGGATGGAGCCACGAACTGAGGTTTAATCTAAAACAGGCAAAGAAAACATGCAAAAAATACTGCTGGGGTCCTTTTAAAGGCTGGCGTTGTGAATATTTCTCACTGTGTATTTTATTTTGAAAGTTTTCTTTTGTTACCGAGAGTGCTACACTGCCCTGATAACTTGCAACATTTAAATTCGTAGTGAAGTATTTTCAGTTTTTCATTTTTTATGTCCCACTGAATGACGAGAAGCGATACCGTCGGTGTTTGAACAGATTTCTGGTTGGATCCGTGAATCTTTATTTGTTCAGTGGTGAGAAAACAGAGTTTGAAACTGATTATCTTTTCTACATGTGTATAAATTTAATGCTCAACATGTGATTCTCTTGATGCTTGTTTTTTGTTTTTTTACAAGATGCCAAATAAAAGTTCCACCTAAAGAAAAGGCCTTGACTCATTTCTGCAGAGCTTTCGAGTGTGTAGTGTGTGTGTGTGTGTGTGTGTGTGTGTGTGTAGAAGTGAGCGCTTCCAAACCGCTGTCAGCGCAAACTGGGAAGCGCTCCGAACGGTAGCTCAGATTTCCTTCCTGGACAGAAAACACATCTGCAAAGAATTTAAAGCTGCAAAACAAACGTTGAGTTCAGCCGCTCGGTGCAGAGCCTGCAGGCCTCCAGGTGACGACGGCTCAATAACGACCGAGATGAAGCAGCTCAAGAGGTTTAAAGGCATAAAACGGTTCAGATCGGGTTTTGTTTTACATTTTCTGCTCAGATATGTGACCTCCCAGTAGCTGATGGACTTGTGAGGGGAAAGGAAACATTCAGCTGCTGTTTAATAAACTGCATGTTGGTTCTCTGTTTGGTTCTGATTCAGGTGACAGAAGGCCGACTTTGTAACTGTCTTTATGCGACTCTGAAGGTTCAGATCTGAGTCAGTCACTACACCCAGATTTCAGGCCTGATCATTAGTGTCTAGCTGTAACAACTGATGCTGCATCGTTCCTCTTTAGGTCCAGAGAGAATATCAGCAGGACAAATATTAGTCCACAGCAGAAGATGTTTTTAGATCATTTTTGTACTATGTAGTTCTTTATGGAAGTATGAAGTAGGTTTTCTGTAGGTTTTACTCGTCGTGGAATAATGGCATTGAATTTATACAAGTTGTTTTTTAGATCTTGTTTTTGCCTTTTAAGTATGAAACAGTTTAATTCCACTAATTTCAGAGTAGACAGCCAGCACTGTTATAGGCAAGAACAAATAACCCAGTTAAAAAAATCACAGAAATTTCAAGTTACTCAAATATACTTTAATCATAGTTAATAGCCTTGCTTCCTAATCAACTGAAGCTAAAGTTGACTTTTTATCCTTTTTCTGTACTGAGGGTAGAATTGTTCCATTACTGTAGCAACATTCTCAAAAAAATTTACCAAAATAAAATCAAATAACCTCAGAGGTAGTTACAGTAAACATTGGTAACTCTACTTGGTTGGCCTTTACAATTAATATCCCAAAGCAGAAAATAATTTATTTTTTACACTTTTATTATTATTTTATAACCAAAAATAGAAATGCATGAATGGATTGGGGTCTAGAATTTTCTATTAGTCCCTGAACGCACCGTTTTCCAGGTTTGCGATGAGGCAAAAAAAAAGCACACATTAAATATCTGTTGAACAAACCACACGCACCAAAGGTTAAAGAAAAATACAGTTTAATTAAAAATCTTAATGGCTTAGGCATGAAAACATGGCGGCACAATGAATGCAGAGGATATTAAAAAGACAATAAATAAAATCATATCTATACAGGTAATGAGTTTTTAGTAGGCAAGTTCCATTTGACGAAGGCCAGTTAACTGGGTAAACCAACACACACAGTCACAGAGAGAAGTCAGCAGACGGGAACCGACACCAAGTCACTGATGGTTCTGCTCTCAGAGTTCAGATGTGGAGTGAAATGACAACATGAGGGGCAGAGGAGAGTCCAGACGGAAATGGAGCGATTCGCCCAGTTCTGTGACTGACAGGAGGCACAATAATTCACCTTCTCCCACTAAAACCAGTTTAAACCTTAGTGTAGAGAAAAGGACACTTCAGCCACCCTCTGCTTACATAATTTTATATCAGGAGGTATTCTTACCAAGGATTTCAGAACATTTAACCTACAAATTTCATTTACTGATGCAGAATCCTGGAGAATTCATAAAAAAAATTTTTAAAAAAAGCTTAATGACAAATCAGTTTTTCTTAAATAAATGAAAACTGAATTTTGCATTCTCTGATTTTCTTTGTCTGACATCATCATTGATGACGGCTTTGACAGAAAACTGAACAAAATCCATACGGGTGTAAATACTTTTTCACAGCAGATAAAAGAGGTTGATAACAGTAGCTGCGTTTCCATTACAAGTATACGCAAAACACTCTTGATAATCTGCCAATATCAAAAAACATAATTTCGCAGCTGCTGAGTTTCCATTAAAGACACAAAAAAACATCCATCATCATCCAACAGCTTCATGTTGTCTTCTTTGTCTTTTCTACCAGCAGTAACATCTGGTTACTGATGACGTGACTCGTATGATGCGAAAAAAGTTTTTCCATTTCAAATTTGCACAACACATTAATTTTGATCTGGTGAGAATCCATAAATTCTTGACCAAAAAACATCCATTTCTTTTTGAATTGGCGTAGTTCCATTTAGCAAATAAAATTTTCGTATTCCAATAAATTACATGGTCGATGGAAACGGAGCTACTGTGATGTAATATTTTCCATATAAATACCTTCTTTGTACCGACATTCACTTTTTACACCTTTATCCGTTCATATTGCTTTGCAGTGGGAAAAAGTACATTTTGACCTTTTAAAATCTCAAACAGTTTCAAATCTGACCCACAGATTTGCAAAATTTAAACGTAAAACCTGCAATCTTCCCAACGACCAGCAGGGGTCACAAGAAAACATCCTTAGTGAGTTTCTGCTTGATATAAAATCTAATTTTACAAACCATGGCGTGAGTTCAGTAAAACAGACTGGAAACCTGGACTTTTATCCTTTTCACAAAAAAATAAAATGCGTGACGTTTGTGCTCTGGCGCCACCTAGAAATCTTCAGATCCCAGTGGCTCAATTTATACTAGAGGATTCACACACCTGAGAACAAGTCAAAGCTTTTTAAATCAGTTTTTCTCCACCTTAATGCTTAATAAAGATGCTACTATGGCATTTGAAAAATAATATACAATAGAAGTAAATTTAAGTCTTTTTTCAAGTTATTTTTTCTAAAATTTTCAGTTGAACAATTTTTAAATTCACAAATAAAAGAATAAATAAACAATAAATTGCTGATAATCTGAGCCACTAACCAGGAAGCCTTGCAGATGAAACACGTCTGCTCCAAACAGAAGAAAGGATGAAGCCACAACAAAATGTCAATATGATCTTAAATATGCAAAACTGGGGCTTTAAGTTGGGCAAAAATTTCATTGTTCCAGAAACATTTTGGAATGCTCCGTCCAACAACTAGTAAAAACAAAAAAGCGTAATAAAACATTTACACATTCATGTGGAATGACTTAAAGTCCGAGCAGATGGTCACAGGTCAGATCACATTAAAACCAGGGCTGCACAAAGTGCTGCAGATGTATTATTACTGCAGTGTCTCTGCAGAACTGCTACCGATGTTAAACTATTTAAATAACCTGCATTCAGGCTTTCAATGCCACTTGGACATCTGGTGGCTCCAGTCGTTTAATGCAGCATAAAAACAGTTCTACAAGGACGTTTTGATGCTACAGCAGCAACTCCTTTAATAAAACCTTGTTCAGATAGAAATGTCATCATCTGAGGATTTTGTTTGCTAAAATCTGAAAGCAGAGCAGAAATTTTATTTACCACAGGTCATGTCATTATGTTTTTTTTCTAATATAAGCTGATGACACTGCAAAAACAAAAGGTAAAGTATTTTTGCTTTAGTTTGTATTGCAAATATCTTAGTTTTGTGTTATTTCAACTGTGTAACTTTTCAGCCAGATATAAGGGCTTGTTTTAAGTAAATAATTATTTAATACTGATAAAAAAATACATAACTTGTTCCACTGGCAGATTATTTCACATATAACAAGACATTTTCCAGTGTTATAAGTGAAATAATCTGCTAGTGAAACTAGAATTTATTTTGTCTACTTTCAAGAATTATTGGCTTAAAACAAACTGCTATATCTTGCTGAAAAGTTTGTTTTCTCTTATTTCAAGTGTACTGAGATATTTTACAGTAAAAACTGGACCAAAAATACTTTGTAAGATTTCTTGCTTTTGCAGTAAAATTGA